GAAATCGAATGGTGACGATATAGAAGCCATGATGGATCCCACTGAGATTGAAATCTTTCGATTATCGAATAGGGTTTGGGGTAAAGAAGATGATGATCATGAGGAGACTGAAGATCATGGTGGAGATGAAGATGCCGCCATGATCGCYGGCGGCGTCGTCACCCCACGGAGGAAAGAGGAGATTGATCTTTTGAGCGATCTTCTTGACTTCTACAAGGAAAATGGAGGATACCCATATGATGATTCAGGAGATCTGCTTGAATTCTATAAGAAATGAATTGAAGAAGACGATAGGTATTGAAATCGATGACGGTTGCGGTTAAAGATTCGAAAGAACGAAGACGAATCTTGGGCTTTTTTTCGATTTTAGGTTTTTGGGCATTCGATTTTTTGATTTTAGGGTTTATGAAGTTCCATGCATGAACATGGGGTTTAGAATGATGCAATAGAATGATTTGGATGTAAGAAGTTTGACTTTTTTTTGGAAATTAGAGGGTTGACTTTTGTGAAATGTTGTTTGATGTTCATATTTGTGTTTTTGATGTTGATCCTATTAAATTGTGACTGAATATGAATATTTGATTCAATGAATATCTCGATTGTTTAATGAATATGTTTAAAGGGTTTTTTGTTTATCTTCTAACAGTTCAATTAAGAGGCAGTTTTTGAATCGTTAAGAGGTGAATTTTGTTTGATAAAAAAAAGTTTGTTTCTTAATGGTTTTGCATCTCGAGTCTCCCTTAACCATTAAGCGCCCTAACTTCTTTGTAAACAATTACCAAACATAATATTTCATTTTGTACTATATCATGAGAGTCTTTTAATCATTCTGACCATTTAAATTAATGAATCAATATTTTCGTAATAAAAATTGTAGATCATAATAAATAAACTATGATAATTTTTCATAAATATTCAAATTATAATAAATAAACTTTATGTCATTTCTATAATATCTAAATTAATTGGTTTATTTGGTTTGTACTAATAATTGAGTTTGTAAAAGATCTTTCATCTTATCTGATAATTGTTTTGTAAAACATTGTCAAAAAAATAACGAGTAATTCCGCAATTCGACGCAGTAAATATCTACAGTAAAAAGTAAACAAGACGCGTCTATCGGCCAACATTTGGGCAGTAAAAAGTTGGTTATCGGTAACTCCAATCGATCCTAACCCGCTTCCAAAGACACCTATGTGAAAGTATATTTTTTGGCTCACTCAACGACTGAGATTAGTAAAAATCTGAAATCAAATCCAAGACCTGTTATTGTCCACCATTCAACTAATTAAAATAGAAATAGTATTCTTTTCTATATGAATATTGAGATATTCACACTTTTTATTACATCGTTTGTCTGAAAGTAAATACCTATAATAACAAAGATATATACAGTTTTAGGAATACGTAATTAGGATTGGGTTTACATGAGACCAGACTGTTTTTCTAAGATACATGAGATAACATTTTTACACTTGAAACTTCACAACCAAATATTGTGAAGGTAAAAAGAAGCCGAACTTTCACAGCAAAAACACTGTGAATGTTACATTCACAGTGTTCTATTGTGAAGTTTCAAGTGTAAAAATGTTGTCTCACGTATCTCACGAAAACAGTCTTGTCTCTCATAATCCCAAGTCTACGTAATTATTACACTTTTTAAATGAGAAAGTAGACATTTAATTTTAAAATTAACACTTATTTGCGACAAACTGAAACTGTATTCAAACAGATGACCCCAAAAAATCAAATCTTATTCCCAGTTAATTAAGCTAACCCCTAAGATTATTTCATGTTGGATTAACGATATAATGTTTTTTTTAAGTATAATATTTATATACGACAAATGCAACAAATAAACTCGCACACCCTCCTCAGCTTTGATGAGGTTTGAACCTCTGACCTCCTAGGAAGACAAAGTCTACGATACCGCTAGGACAAAGGCTCTTTGATTTAAGGATATAACGTTTGTCCCAATATTTTTTATATTTTTATTATTATCTTTTATATACTATATATTAATTTATTTTGTTACATATTCTTATATTATTACGTAATTTAAGTGATTTAATTTCTTAAACGCATACACAATTTCGTTGATATTATGCATTAAACTATATATAAAATTAAACCAAAAAAAGGACTTTGTTCCATTGATATGTGAGTCTTTGGTTTCCTAGGAGGTTAGGAGTTCAAACTTCATCAAATATAAGAATAATGTGTGAGTTTATTTGTTCTATTTGTCGTATATAAATATTATATACTTCAAAAAAAATAAAAAATATATTTTATTTAAAATTTTTAACACCTTTTTTTAAACAATGACCGTAATTTTATTAACGGCTAATAAAGTAAATTAATGGAATTTTATTAACCAATATGACCATCCATTGAATAAAAATCATTTTGTGACAACAGAGGTTCAAATGCAGTGATTCTGAGCTACCTGTAAAACAGATGGTTGTACTGAGATTAATCATTGAATCGAATAATGGAATGGATATCGAGGTTAATAAAAATAATAATATAATTTACTCCCTTTGTTTTTAATTTAAATTATTTGAATATGGAGCATTACTACAAGTAGTACCACATACATATCGTCATTGTTCATGATCTTGAAACTACGTGATCACTTTCTTGTTTCTCTCTCTAGATTTCTGAAAAACCCATCTCAAAATCCACCATTTTCTACTTGAAAAACAACAAGAAATTAAAAACCCATCAAGATTCCGCCATGGATGATTCTTCAAAACCACAGCATACAAACCCTAGTTCTAGCAACCCACCTGGTTTCGCTATTGGTTCCACCGCATCATCCTCTCCTCCTTCCACCGGAAACAACCCACCACCACCACAACCACCGCCTCCACCACCGTCATCGCCACAAGGTGTTGCCACCGCCACCACATCAAGCAGCAAAAGAAAGAAACCCTCCACTGATGATCAAGGCGAACATGAGGAATTTCAAGATGATATTGACGCCGGTGGTATTACACGAACGAAATGCCATCAAACCAACAAATCAACCGCCGGAGATGACGTTGCCGCCGCAGCAGCCATGAACACCGCCAGCGGCGGCAGCCCAAGGAGGAGGAGAGAAGAGATTGCTCTTTTGAATGACATTCTTGACTACTGCAAGAAAAAAGGGAGATGCCCAGCTGACCATTTCAAACATTTGCATAAATTCTATAAGAATTGGGTTGAAAGACGAACTAGGGTTTACATGAATGAAATCGTTTTGAATAATAAGATGGAAGATTTGCATGTAAGATTCGTGCAGAATCTTGGGAGGACATGGGATGGTGAAGAAATAGAAGAGTGGATGGATCCCATTGATGTTGAAATCTATGAGTTATCGTATAGTATTTGGGGGGAAGAAGACGATGATATCGGATTCCATGACGATGGTGGTATGAACGATTCGAAAGATGAAGAACAAACTGGTGATCCGAAAGATTCGAAAGATGAAAAGACCAAACATGATTTGGAAGATTCATCTGAACAAGAAACTGATGATGATAATGGTACCAAAGATTCAACTGAACAAGAAACTGATGATGATAATGGTACAAAAGATTCGACTGATGATGGTCATGATGAAACCGAAGATTCGAAAGCTTTGAAAGCTTCAACTGAGCAAGAAACCGATGATGATCAAGAAACCGAAGATTCGAAAACTGCAACTGATCAACAAGAAACCGATGATGA